CTTTGTTAGTATTCAATAAACAAATGACTTCAATGATATTTTTTCCTAAAATACAACTATGATATTTTTTGAACATTTTGAAAACTTTGTTACCATTTAAATCATTTATCTATTTATATGAGATAACCGGTTACCACAAAGTTTTATTTGAACAAATGTATACTTTGTTAGTATTCTATACACAAATTGTATACTTCAATGGTATTTTTTGTATTAAAATAACAATATATTTTTATACATTTAAAAAACTTTATTACCTTTTTAATCATTTTCCCATTATATTTTAATAAACATATTTCACTTGCACAAAATCATACAAAATGTTACAATATTAACTTGGTTACTTGAACCATCCTTCCACAACAACATTTTGCCAAGCAAGAACTGTACCGACACCCAAATATTTTAAATTTAATTGAATCTTTTTGCACACCCAAAAAGTTGGTTGAAATTCTATCAAATTTTTGCCAAAAGTGTCGCAATTTATCATAGGAACTGAAACACCTTGACATTTCTTCATAACAAAACCTCATGATGTTTGTACACCACTTGAACCAAAAAAAATCTCATATTTAACACATTTAATAAAAAAAATATTTACTTCTTCTGGACAGTGTGTTTGTATATAAAAGTTGAAAGAATGCACATTCTAAAGCACTTGAGATATGGACAAAGATTAAAAAGATCAAGATATTGTTACCAAAAAAAAAAACTCAAAGGTCAAAAAAATGCACAAACCCATAAGATATGATCTCAATGGCATTATGGTAAAATAAGCTGTTACACACAAAGTAATCCCAACTCGAACAAGATCTAACCAGACTCAAACTATGTCCCAGCCTTTCTACGGCCAACACGAGCCACAAAACCAGCCTTGATTTGAGCAACAGATCTTCCAGAACCACACTACAAGAAAAACACATAAAAACAATTAGGGGTTTCAAAGCACATTTTTATTGATATCTTTTTCAATAAAAATAAAACAACTAAGACCATTAAGTTCATAGCAACTTAGAATAAATAAATTTAAAAATCCAAAAGGGCCTCAGAAATCTTAAGAGTTGTTTCTTCACAGTGAATAATCAGACAATGTAGGCAAAAAATTTATTCATCACAGGCTGTTACTAATATATTACAACACACATATAGTAAACCGACTCGGAAATCTTTAATTTTTTGCTTTGATTTATTAAACATCCATCTATATCTAGTATGTTTACACATTTTTGGAAGAAAAAAAGCCTCAGAAATCTCTAGTTTTCTCTTCATTGTAAATAATCAGACAATGTAGGCAAAACTTTTATGCATCACAGGCTTTTACTTTACATAATATGTATCATATGTATGAGAAAGAGAGTGGGTACATTTGTTTGCAATAAATGTATATAATCAAAAAGGCCTCAGAAGTAGATGATTTTTTTCTTCATGTTAGATATAATCAGACAATGTAGGCAATACTTTTATTCATCACAGGCCTTTACTAATAGATCATATAGTATGCATGTCATTATTATGATTGGGTAGACTTTTCAAAATACAAAGCAAGAAAAGCAAAGAGGATAGAATAACAAACAAATCATCGAAAGTACAAAACGCCTCAGAAATCTATAATTTTCTCTTCATTGTATAAACAAATCAGACAATGTAGGCAAAATTTCTATTCATCACAGGCATCCACTGTAGTGTGTGTATGTGTGTGTGTCAAAAAATGTAGGTGAAGTGTTAAAAAATACCTTTTCACATCTGAGAAAGAAGAGCCGATTCTCCTTTGAAAGAATTGTGTCTGGGCTCTTGCAACCATTGCAGATAACATACTCATCTGTAAAACAGAAATTTATCAGCAAATTGACTTATTTTGTTATAATTAATAAATAATTAACGACATGTAACAAATAGGCTCAAGTTTTTGATAACTTACTGACATATCGCCTCAGAATCCCCTCAAAATTTTTTGGAGCAAATCTTCCCTTCACTACCAATCTTTGCTGCCCATCAAGTGATCCACTTGTACCCAATTCTGCCAGCAAGAAGGTCATAACATGCTCTGGCTGCCTATGCATGCTGCAAGAAATGAATGTATGATTAGATATAATGTTAAAAAGTTTTTTCTTTTTATAAAAAATGAAAAATGTGGTCTTAATTAACTTACGATTTGCAAAGGTCCATAAAATTCACAAAAACAGTCTTTTTTGTTCCTTCACGAAGAACTTGTGGTGGCCTCATGACTGTTCTTCTTCTATCTCCAGCAAGCTCAGGGTTATTCTCACGAAGAATATGGAACACTCGCCCCAAAAGCTGAACCAAAACAACAAATAAAAATATGAATTAGATTTAAATTTTAAACATAAGTGCCACAAAGAGATATCATATCATAAATTTATTTGTAGTAAACAGAATTACATGATACATACCTCTTCATATATGTAGTCACGATCAGTCCCTTCCCATGGAAGTTTTTGTTCTTGTAGAACAATTCCTTCTCCTTCCTCATCTTCTCCAATAGGATCTAGAAAACATACAGAGCAAATGTTCAAGCATTCAAGATAAAACATAATGAAAGACATTGTCTTAATTAAATAAGCTTCTTACAGTCAACATCTTCGCCTTCATTTTCTTTCTCTTCTTCCAAAGGGATAGTTTCAGCCTAAAACAATTATAAGAATCTTGAATCAGAAATTTGATGAGAACTTATATCCAATATAGTTATAGAGAACCAGGCTAACCTGCTTCTTTTTCTTCTTTTTTAAACCAGTAAATGAGGGTTCAAGACCTTCAGAAACTGCATGTCAAGAATATTCTTGATTATAATTCACTAACAGATAAAAGATATGATGCATTTATGTCGAATGTCTGTGTGTTGATTGCCAAATGAATCACCTGAGAGGCTTTCAGTTTTCTCAGCTAATTGTTCCACAGGACCATCAGCTGGATCATGGATCACGACCTTCTTTTTCTTCTTCTTTTTTGAAGGGTCAAAAGGAGCAAGCTGCATCAAAGTTGCTTTGTCAACTAAAACAATCTTTCAAAGAACCATGAAAATGATTGCATGACTAATGTAAATAGAGGCAATAAACGTTAAACGTGTAACTAGAGCAAGAATGAAGAAGGAATCAGGATTTTAACATGAAATATCACGGTGATATCAACGCAAATGCAGTAGCAAATGTAATCGATAAAAATCAAAGAGAAGAATTATAAATTTAAAGGATTAGGAAATAGTTACATCAGTTGCTTCCTCCTTCATCTCGATTTGGTTTTCTTCCTCTGCCATTTTGATCAAATTTGAACGATCCTCGATTTATAACTTTCCTGGTCAAGTGAAACATAAAAAAATGTAAACACAATATTGTAAGTAGTAACCAAAAACACAAGTAAACATTCCAATAGCTACCACACATAAAACCTAATAAGTGTATGTCAACGACCGAGAACTATAAAACCCAACATTAGCCGCAAAGATCGTGATGTCAGTAAAACATCTACTATTTGGAAAATTCGAATCCAATCAAACAAAGTTAACCAAAGAAAGACGATAACACAGCTCGAACAAACAGATGAGATAATATTTCAAGCTCAAAACAGGCCTCGACTAATTTCGGACGATAAACCCTACTTTTGACAGACAGTAGATCCCTAAAATTGGTATAATCGATCGAGATTCAACGATAAGAAGAGATAATAAACAGCAACCATTAGTATATGGGAAAATTAAGAGGGTGAATAGATAAAGAATACCGTCAAGATCGAAATTCTCTTTGTTCCGGCCGAAGATGATCTGCAATTTTTCGATGAAAGCTGCGTTACTACATTGCGGCTCCGTAAAGGCGTATATATAGTAAGATTATTTAGGGCACCCTATTTTGAACTTGATTCTTTTTTTTTTTTTTTTTTTTTTGCAATATTTTAGTTTATTTGTTAATATTTGTATGGTTAAATAAAGGGAAAATGACTTAGGATGGTAAGAAAGTGTTGGACTTGTTTTCATTTGGTCCCTTATTATATCATTGAACTTATTATTCATGTTCATCAAAACCCTCGCAACCACTTGTTGTAGATTACTGCTTATATGGCTATTACGTAGCATTATGTGGCATCCACTTGGCTTATTAAATGCAAGTTATATGATATTAAGTTGTTGTATGCGTCATTCTCATCAATTGTGCCCTAAATTGACATGGTTGCTTCTTCTTCTTCTTCTTCTTCTTCTTCTTCATCTATCTCTTCCAAACAAAGTGTTGAACTTCAACCTAAAAATCCTTGTGATTGTGGGTTACCATCTCGCGTATGAACTTTACGAACTAAAGACAATCCGGGAAAAAATCAGATTGTGCCCTAACTCCATGGTAAATCAAATGTTTTTACTTTTTGGTTTAATTGTTTCTTTTTTCAAGAATGAAGGGCCAAAATGCAAGTTCTATAAATGGTTGGAGCTTGAAACCCCTGAAATGAAGTCAGTTCTCGGAAGGACCAAAAAGAACTGTGCAATTTAACCCTCAAAAATTCTACATTGGAAAACGAGATCAGCATATGCAAGATGAAGATGGAACAAGAAATTTTGGTTGTTAGACAAGAGATTGAAAATTTCGAATGGAAGTTATTTACTCATAAAGTTCTGATGATTATGTTGTTTCTGTTGTTTGTGTTTAAGAAGTAGTTAGTGAAGCTGTATTCAAAGACTAGATTTTGTTAGACAATAAATTTTGGCTTAATGTTGTATTTTGTTTGATGTATTAAGACTAAGTCTTGTTGATTAATGATAGTTTGATGTTTTGACTGGTATCAAAGAAATATGAATGTGTTAAATAGGTTAGTGAATTGGACATGATGCAGGGGTAAAATGGTCCAGATTAAGCATAGCAGCAATCAGTTGTTAATGTCTTAATTACGTTAGTGAACTGAATATGATCCATGGGTAAAATGATTAACCACAACAGCAGCATCAAACATTTCTTAATGTACTTTGACTTATTTGAAACAATCCATGGGTAAATAACCAAACACCAAAGCATATAATATAGATAAAAGACAAACTTGTAAGATTCCATTAGCATGTGCACCATTACAAAAGTTGTGCCCACGTTTGTCCTAATATGTCAAAAGATGTGCCATGACTAAAAGTTTTCCTAATTACATAATTAAAAGATTAAAAGTTTGTCTTCCCAAAAATATTAAAACATAAAAATCATTCCAACACCATTGGGCGGTGATCAGTGCTTCCTTCTTTCTTCAAAACTGTAATGCCCCGTTCTAAGAGTAATTATTCATGGATCCCCGAGATCAAGAGTAAGGGCGTTTCGGTCTTTTATGGGCAATGGAATTTATTCGAGAAGGTTTCGGACCGGGGTGTGTCGTTAGAAGCGTAGGGCTTCTCGCCACCTTTTCGTGAATATAAAGTTCGTCGGAAACGGACTTAGAATGAAGGAGTTATAACATTTTGAAGTTGTTGTCATTTATGGTCCCTTAATGGAAAAAGTTGTCGAAAGAGGGGCATGCATGCTTTTGGACACGCATAGCTACGCTCAGCGTAAGCTGGGTTACGCCCAGCGTAGCGGGTCTTTGGATCGCGGAGGTGTGAGGCGTACGCCCAGCGTACGCAAAAGTTCATTAAACCCTAATTTGGGTTGAGCCATTATAAATAGAACATAATGGCTTCAACCCTAGCCCACATATCAGCCTCCCTAACCTCATAAGAAACCCTAGAACGTTCCAATCTCCATTTTTAGAGATCTTGGCCTTGAAAAGCTCATCTTGGTGGTTTTTAGCTTGGAAGAGAAAGGAAGAAGATTGGGAAGGGGGAACCTTGGAAGCTAGAGCTTATAGATCTGGGACAAGTGTTTCATTTCGGACCTCTTCAAGGTAAAAAGCTTTGAGCTTGATGAATAATCTCTTAGATCTCTCTTGGTACAATTTTATGGACTTTTTGGTCCCAAGAATGGACCTTTTTGGAGCAACTTCGATTTTGAGCTTGGGGTTGCCACCCTCAGAGCTAAAAGTGTCCCACAAGTAATAAAGTTGCAATCTTGATGGTCCTAATGAGTTCGTGCATGAGATTTAGCCCTTGTTATGGAAGTATGTTGTCACCTTATGAATTTGGGCTTATTTGGTGGGTTGCAAGTCACCAAGTTAGTGACTTTATGGGTTAAGACATGGAAAAGGACCAGAATCTGTAATGGTAGCTTGTAGATTTGAGTATTAAGCACTTATTGGGAAAAGGTCTTAACAGAGGTATTATGATGAGCGTACGTGCAAGTACGCCCAGCGTACTCACCATTCTGCCTGTACGCTTAGCGTACATGGGGGTACGCCCCGCGTACTCTGTCTGTATGGATCATGAGTTTTTGGGCCGTGGTTTGGGGCATGTTTGGGTATTTGGGCCTTAGTGGGCCATCAGAAATCATATTATATGGGCTAAGGAATATATTTTGGGCTTAGGGTGAGGCCCATTAAGGGATTGGGCCCAATGTAGCAAATTGGGCCATTAGTGGGTCACTAGTGGGCTTGAGAAACTTACCTAGTGTTGGACCTTTCATATTATGGTGTTGGGCCTTAGTCATGAACCAGATTTGGTTAAGGGTAAAATGGTCAATTTACCCTTAGAAGGATATTGTTTTGGGCTAAGTGTTATTGTGGCATTGATAGTTCGGGGAGCTAGAGGAGCAGCAGTGCGGGGATTGTCAGATAGCAGCCAGAAGGGTACCAGCAGTGTTTCAGCAGTTCAAGGTGAGTTTTCCTCACTGTACTCAAGGGTCTAAGGCATCAAGGCCGGCCCTTTGAATTGTTGTTAGAGCTTGTTATATTATGTGATGATATGCTTGCTAGTATCCTGGTGGATAAGATAGTGATATGAGAGTATGCATTTTGCCTAGTATCCTAGAGAGATGGATGGTTGTATGATGGCTAGTTCTGTTGGATCAGCGCCCTGGTAGTTGGGTAATGATTATTTATAGACCGGTAGTGGGTCTTGCATTATGTACGCTGGTAGGAGGATACCTGCGGGTTATGTATGTTGAGCAGTGGTAGAGGGTATTCCATCCCGGTAGGATGATAGGGCCCTAGTGTGCTAGTTCTATAGAGTGTTATGTGGTTGCCTGATATGTGTGCATGTCTGCTAGAGTAGTCTGGCATTCCAACCCGATGGTTGTGGGCCAGGAGTATTCCATCCCGGTAGGATGATTGGACTCATAGTATGTTGGCATTCCAACCCGATGGTTGAGGGGCCTGGGGTATTCCATCCCAAGGGATGATTGGACCCATAATAGTAGTAGTAGTTACTGTATGTATAGGAAGTGGGGCATTCCAACCCGATGGTTGTGGACCATGAGTATTCCATCCCGGTAGGATGATTGGACTCATAGTATGTTGGCATTCCAACCCGATGGTTGAGGGGTCTGGGGTATTCCATCCCAAGGGATGATTGGACCCATAGTAGCTATTGTTGTATGTATAGGTGTTTGGGCATTCCAACCCGATGGTTGTGGGTCGAGAGTATTCCATCCCGGTAGGATGATTAGGCTCGCGTTATGTAGGCATTCCAACCCGATGGTTGAGGGTCGGGGGTATTCCAACCGGAAGGTTGAATGGACCCGTAGTATGTTGTTCTTTGTTGTATGTGTATGTTTGTGTGTGTATGGGTACTTTGGGGGAAACTCACTAAGCTTTCGGGCTTACAGTTGTGGTTTATTGTTTCAGGTGCTTCAGGAGATCGTGGCAAGGCGAAGGCATGATCGTACCGCTCCTTATGTTTATGTTTTATGAGATATGGTTCTGGGGAAATACTCTGATGTTTAAACTGTTGTGAAAACAAGATGTATGAACGTAATGGTTTTTGAATGAAATAAAATGTTTTAGATTGGTTGAAATTTTTGGTCGTTACAAAAACCTTCTTCCTCAACCCTATCTTGGTAATTCTTTCTAAGTATTTTTGTATCCTCTTCCCAGTTGCACCGGTTGAGCATGAACATCATTAACTGGTTGAGCATGATCATCTACTTGAACATCATCAACAGGTGGAACAGGATCATCCACTTGAACATCATCAACATGTGGAGCAGGATCATCCACTTGAACACCATCAACAGGTTGAGCAGGATCATCCACTTGAACTGGTTCCACTTGTATTGGATCCACTCAAACTGGTTCCACAGTACCTGCTATACAAAGGTGTAGTTAATGAGTTGGATGTTGCAGTATAATTAAATTGTTTTAATAACAAACCTTTCTCTTTTTTACATTTTTTAGTTTTCTTCTTTTCTGACCTTGAAGTGGATGCTATATCTTCTGGTATTATAGGACATGTTGATCTATTGTGGCCCCTTTATCTACAAATAGTGCATCTCATAACTGTACCTGCTTTTGAGATAGTATGCCTTGTTTTTCCCTTGTTTTCCCTCTCAGATTGATCCCTTTTCCTTTTAAGGGTTGGCCTTCCTGATAACCTTCTTTTTTGGGGAGGCAATGGCTTCATGTAGGGAACTTCAGGCCACATGGAACTACCATTAAGTGGATTAATGGTATGGTTGTAACAAGTCAAGAACATGGTTGTAGTAAACCATGGTGCAACATAATCCTTTGCATTCCTGTTGAGGTATGAAATGGTTGCCACTGCATGCACACATGGGATACCTGATACTTGCCAAGATCTACATCCACATGTCATGTTGGTAAGGTCCACAACATATCCATCATTTCCAATCCTAACCTCATATTTTTGTATCCCAGAAGGTACAACTCCCCAAAATTTGTCCACGAACATAACAAGTTCTATTAATTTCACATTTGTTAATAATACTTATAAAATAGAATTTATAACATACATTTGACGTCTCTTTAACTTTGATATCTTTAATCTTATAGATGGGCATATTTTTAAATTACCCCAACTATATCCCTCTAGCAACATTTTATACATCATCTCCATTGCATAAATCTGAATCTCTTCCAACATGGTGAGGAGTGGTCTCTTCCTAGCAAGATCAATAACATAGTTGAAAATTTATGATATGACATTATCATAAGCATCACAAGCCATGTCCACTACAAAGAATGCCCTACATCACAAGCCATGTCTGAATCTCTTCCAACATGGTGAGGAGTCCTCATTATTTCTTATCCATAACTCCATACTTTACCATAATGTACTATCAAACTACCCTCTGTCTCATCCAAAGCACATCTCTTGGCATTTCTACATTGAGTCACACTAACAATCAAGTTAAACTTTGTACTTACCTAGGCTTTCATTTTCCTTGTGCTCATTTTGGGGTTCTGCAAAAGCTGATTCTTAAAATGCTTTCCAATCCATTTATATGTTACAATGGAACCAATTTTGATGACTCCTGAACAATTATGGTCATCAATTAAGGCCTTAATATGGAAAGACCTTTCACTACTCATCCAGGAAGCCCACTGTCTAAAAGAACAATATGGGTTCTTGTTATCTTTACAACATCTTACTAACAACCTCTGACTATCATTTTTCTCATAATAAAGGTTGTATCTATTCTTCATTGCATAGTTAGTCACATAATTTTTCAATTCCAGAGGGTTAGAGAATCTCATACCTAGAATTGGCACCATTTTGTCCCATTTTTGGTTCTCATTATGGACAGGGTACACTGTTGTCATCCCCATTGTTGGTTCTAACCTCATTATTTGTATCCTTACAAATACCTGACACCCGATGCAAAAATTCATCACCAATAGTCTTGTAAAGAGAAGGAATGTAATCATCCGCTTCATGCTCATATGGAATATCATCAGAAAGTTGTGAATCATTGTCATCATCCAGGTCTTGCTCAGAATAATGCCCTTTATCATCTTCTACCACTTCCATATCAGACCAATCAAGTATATGTTCATTTTTGTGGTCTATAAACACATTCATTCTTAGACCATTTTCATCACTATAACCCGTTTCAATAAACTCAAAGTAGTCAGCATCATTCCCAATTCTCCTAATACCCTCTGTCAATGAGTTTATTTCTAGTGCAATAATATACATTATCGCATATGCTTTCAAACAACTTTTCAACGAACAAAATAAACTCTTTAAGATCCATTGCACCAAAATCGACATCACAAATTGAAACAACAACATTATTTAAGTACACTAATGGTTTTGGTGCGAACAAACCATTATAATGTACATAAACTGTAAAATACTTACGTCGTTTGGAATCGGAGGCCATCTTCTTCATTATAACACTCGTATTCACCAGTTCTCTTCAATTTCGTAAGCGTAATATTCGATTGAACTGTTGTCTTCAATTTCACTATGAACCGTAAGTTTAAGGAGAAAGGGGGTGAAAGAGAAGCGGGGATGAAATGTGTTCTAAGCCCACTTAATACGACATGTCATCCATAATTAAACGTTTTAAAATAAGAAAACCAGCAAAACATGTGATAAGCGGTCGCGAGGGTTTTGGTGAGCAGGAATAATAAGTTCAATCGTACAATAAGGACATAAAAAAAGATAAGGGACCAAATGAGAATTGGTCCAACACTTTGTTACCCTCCTAAGTCATTTTCCCTTAAATAGAATACATATTGATATAAATATAAATGGATTCTTTGAAAAAAAAACAAATTTTTTTTAAATAACCATTTTGTTCGGAATAGAGCATTCCAAAGAGTTTTCCAGAACACCGGAGTAGGATTCTGGACACTCGTTTCAGAATAGTTTTTTTTATAAAATGTTTTTTTTTATAAGTTTTGTTTTTATAAAATCTAAAATTGAACTATAATCTTAAAATCAACAAAAAGTAATAAATACCTAAACTTAAGTGATTTGTTTTAAGTAATATTACAATGTTAAAATGGATTTTGTCTTTATACCTAAAAAAATTTCGTAAATCGTTTATGATATGACATAGCCCATGGACCGCTTTTACCCTGTATAAAATTCAATTTCCCATTGATCAACATCTTCATGAATCAACACAAAAAAACATCCCATAATTCCCCCTATTGCCTATTTGTTGTGGTATGTATGGGGCATTTCTGATGGTCATATTAAAATTGTCAACTGGGATTGCATCAGTTTGTTCGGTACCCCAGTAGTCGATACTCACTAACAGTCTATATATGCGGTCTCGCATACCTATAAACCATTCTTCTTCTTCTGAAAAATATCGCTCTTCCAATGACTATCGTATATAGTCATTTTTGAATGTCTTCAAATCCAAAACACAAAAAAATAACCAGTGAGCAGAAGATATATTGATTATGTAACACCCATTTTCCATAATGGTTTAGCTGAAGATTTAATTGGACCAAATATGGGATTTTGGAGAAAAACCCCTATGACGCGACGTGGTGCATGGATGACCACAATGTGGCATGACAATTTAATGGTGATCGTGTATGGCATGGTTGCCACGACGTGACAGCTGTTGCAGCCCAATCCCATGATTTTTATGGTTTTCCTCCATATTTAAGGACCTTAATTTTAGGATTAGGTCATTCTCTTCAACCTCCATCATCATATTTCGAAACCTTGGGCTTCATGCATGATTAAGAGCTTGTTTGGTTGATTGGAGAGCTTGTTCTTAGATTTTGGTGAAGCTCGAGGAAAGAGGAAATTCATATTGGTGCAAGGAAGCAAGGAGCTAGCTTGGATCCATCACCCTCTTCTAATTTTTGAGTTATTGTGACATCCCCATTTTCACGGCCAGAAAAGACCGATTTTGTTTATGCTTTATAAAAATCAGAGTACTTCTTTTAATAAAAATGTTGCGGAATTTGTTCTCAGTAAACATGATAAATACGTTATCAAAGCATTTCCGAAGAAATGTATTTTATATTCATTTTTAAAACATTTGAGATGTCATCGTCAATACAGAAACATAAGCATAAACAGAACTTACATTCATTTACACTAGTGATCTACATCCCTTTAAATCTCTCAGTGTAATGTAACTTCATATCGACACATGTGATAGAAATAAGCTGGAGTGGATCAGGTTGGGAAACTTGGTGAGTACATAGGGTTTTCAACCCGCAATAATATAATTATTATGTTTAAACATCAAACAATCAACCCAATTACCCATCCCCCATTATCTTCTTTACTCTTAAGGATCTACCCTAAGAATCAACTATTCCTCGTTCATTCATTCCTAAGGATCATCCTAAGGAATCGGTACGAAGTCCATCGTCACCAGGGTTTAGGCACTAAGTTTGCATAGTCGCCAGGATTTATACAACAAGCACTAAGTCTGCATAGTCGTCAGGGTTTAGGCAATAAGTCTGCATAGTCGCCAGGGTTTATACAACAAGCACTAAGTCCGCATAGTCGCCAGGGTTTTGGCACCAAGTCTGCATGATCGCCAAGGTTTAGGCACCAAGTATGCATGATCGCCAGGGTTTAGAGTACAACGGGTGAACACATCGTTCACAAAACCTACAGGTTGCGAGCCTGCTAGTGTTCCACTGGACTGTCTAGAATAGTCTGTGGTTGTCATCCATACTCTGCTAGATGACGGGGCCAGCATTTGGGAACAAGGCTTCTCACATCGTGTACCTCTCACCCTTACCTCATGGTCTATATCACCTCTCAACTCATCATCCAACTGATATTTCATCTACCCATGTTTTACCCAACATATTATGTAGATATAAATACATATACAGTTTAAATCATATAAAACTTGTATAAAATCGTTCATCCAACATAGATAGCAAGTATACAGATAATATGCACACATAGCACGTAATTTATATAAAATACTTCATATATATGTGTAAGATGAAAGTAATTATGCACTCACCTGATATGGTGGTGACTCAGCTCTCGGACAGCACTTCGTTATCTCAAAATAAGTTTTCCCTTGACAAAACCTAATATCAATACCACTAGGGTTTAGTCTAACGTTAACCGCGACTAATTAATAGTCTAGCTATTATTATTATTATATAAGTGTTAAACAACACTCTATATAACTCATAATAATAGCCCAAATAATTATTTTAAGGTCCTAATAATGTTACTATAATTATTTAAAAGCTATATTAAAAATTGCATAGGCGTAGCTTACTTACAGCGAGTTTTCTTAAAAACCAGACTTTGCTTGGAGCAGCGTTTCCGAACCGAAAAACCCTTTTTCTCGGGACTCCGGGAGCCTCGGGGCTTCCTTCGGGTGCTAGGGGGTTTACCTAGGGTTTAAGGGGGGTTTGGAACCCTAGAGAGAGAAAGAAGTTAGAGAGAGAGTGAAGAAAGGTGCATGGAACTCGGCAGCCCTCGCAAGGTATTTATAGGCGCCAGCCTCAGACTACGCTGGGGGGTAGCCCTTGGCTACGCGGGGCGTAACTCGGATAAGATCACCAGCTCGCTTCCAGCTGTCTTCGTACGCGCCTACTCTTGGAACCGGATAAGAACCGAAGTACGCTGGGCGTACTTGGCCTCGGACGCGGGGCGTAATGCGAGGCTACGTGGCGTGATCCGAAGCGAGGCCTGATCAGCGATGGATGGTCCAGATGTTGCCACGTCATCACAGTTTCGCAAATTCAAGTGCAATCTTTAAAAATTCATAACTCTCGCGTACAAGCTCCTTTTTTGACGTTCTTTATATCCACGCGTAGGCGGGAACGTACTCTACAACTTTCGTTTAGACTCCGTCGACTAATTTTGACTTTATTTTAAATTTATATTTTTAACAGGCCGGGACAGGATTGGTCCGTTAAAAATTCATAACTTCTTCATCCAAAGTACGTTTTCGTCTGTCTTTTTATCGTTACGCTACTATTAACAAGATCTTCGATTCTCGTTTAGGTTGTGTCGGCTAAAAAATTGCTCGATCTAATATTCGAACTTCGGGCTGTACACCGCTAAGCCGAAACTTCGAAAAATCATAACTTCCTCATACGAAGTCAGATTTGGGCGTTCTTTTTATGGACGCTCTTGGTTTAACGTTTTCTATGACTTTCATTTAGATCGCTAAGGCTAAAAAGTCGTTCTATCGTAAATTCACTATTTACGCTTCCCGGTGTTGTGCCTGTTCCGCCACGAAACTTCAACGGGTCATAACTTCTTCGTTATAACTCGGATTTCGGTGTTCTTTATATGTACGGAACCTTTGAGACATATTCTACAACTAGGTTAAGATTATTTATTCTAAATGATCTTTTGTCGAAAAGTCGTTTTCGACCCCTATTATTTCTAAATTGACTAGCCCGGATCTACGGGCGTTACAGTTATTGAAGGTATAAAGTTCATACCTTGACCTTTGATCTTCTTATTTCAAGTTTGAGTTCATTTTGGTCCTTTCAATGGATGCTCTTGGAGTTTGAGGAACTTCGGAGCTTGTTGTGGCTCTCAAATGGTCTTTAGGTTCATGTGAATGAGAAAAGAGTCATGTATGGGCTATCTTGTGTTCTTGACCAAGTTTTGGATATATTAAGGACTTAATGGACTTAAAGTTGTAGATCATGCTTTAGGGTGAGGTCCTAATGGATGAAATTGGAAACTTTATCCATTAAGTCAATGAGAAGGATTAGATCTAAAGTTTTGAGCCTTGATTTGTAAGGATTAAGCTCTTAATGAAGAATTATAAAATCCGTCAATAACCACGATGTGGCCAAGAAATGACCACGGCGTGGTGGAGTCCCGTCTCACGATTGTTCTGTCCGGACATGCCCACGACGTGGCAATGTCCTGTGTGTCTTCTATTTTGTCATGTTATGTCTACGACGTGGCTAAGAGGTTTCCACGTTGTGGAGGCAGTTGATTTGGGTGACCGTTGACTTTTGGTCAGTTTGAATCGTGGTCAAACTTTGAGGATTTTGGTGGTTAATTAAGTATTTATATCTTTTGGTGGCAGTCGGTTCACAAGATTAAACAGTGCAAGGTGTAAGAGTGTTTTTGTGTTGCTCCGGATGTTCAGTTCAGGTGAGCTTCTCGTTATGCCATGTATCTCATTATATATCATTTTCAAGGTATGATAGAGGTATTGTTGGAGTACAAGTATGTTAGTTGGCTATGATAACTACTTGTTATGCATGTGA